CAATTGATTAACACTGAGCTACTGTGACAAATTGTATATACTTTTGAGGGAGTGTGTGCAAGTCTTTGTGTGCGTGTGTGTGTGTGTGTGTGTGTGGACTTAATACAATGTGTGTTTATGTGGATTTAATACAATATCTTGCCAGATTAATGTTAAAACAAACCACAACTATACTTATTACACCCGTTTCCAGGTATTGTTGAGCACCAGATGCTTTTGTCAGAAATTAAATATTAGAATATTTAGATTTTGAATAAGTTCTAATGATTTCAGGTAGACTATAATGAGTCAGTGGAAGGTGTTCCACCTGCCGGCCTGCTCCTTCTAAAACAAGGATTTAGAGGACTACAGTGTTTCCTCTGCACCCCTCTGTTTTGTCTGGTATTAATGAGCAATTAACTTTGCATACAAGGTCACAGACAATAGTATTGGTTGTCAGATTATGCTAATGCTGTTGGCTGTGGCTGCACTGAAAGAGGACAGGGAATCCCTGTGAATAGAGAGGGTTGTGGCCTTTCTCCAAGATGAGAAAATGATATGCAAACTGTACCAACATGCGCTTTAAGAGGATTAGGACACCACTCGACATCCATACTGACAACTAATAAATGAACAGCAAAAAAAGGGGAGGCAAGTGTCCCAGTCTGGACCAGAAAGAGCAGTTTTTCCCTGAAACTTTCTTCGGTTGAAAGTGGAACTTGTGTTGTAACGGTTTGGACAGTTAATGAAAATGTAAATGTGAAATGCATAATGGTGTGACTTGATGAGTTGTAAACGTGCGAGGGTGAGATGAGATCAAAAAGGATGACAAAAGCCTAACTGAAAGAATTCAGTATGGGGTGAAGCAGACGAAAGAGCCTGGGGCGAAACTAAGAAGCTGAAATCCCATGGCCAAGTGAGGGGGAACAGGTGCAGCCAGAGTTCATACAGACCGCTTTGTGCTCTGATATGGCTCCAGTCCATTTGGGGAAGAGGGAGGGGCCCATGTTTAATACAAAGTTAATATCGATTTAATGCTTGTCACTGCTCTTCTGAATCTTGTGGCATTGCTAATTCGCTCAGTGTTGAGCAGGGCTTTTGCACCTCCTGCGCCAGATGCTGCAGGAACCTTCAGTGCCGCCGGCAGAGCCGAGGTGAAGCCGCGGCCAAAACACCCCAAGTGGGAGCCTCTGCTGAGGTGAAGCCCGGTCACAAACTGAATCCTCTGAAATAGATGTTTGGTTAACATCACATGGCAGGAGCGAGGATTCATTGTACGAACTGTGACATTTTAAGGCCCGATGGACTCGAGTCTGAAAAATGAGTGTGCAATAGTGGTAGAAGTAGAAACTTTAGTAAAAGCAATATATAATGCTTCATTGCAGGTCAATTTAGCTTTAAGTAAAATGATGGATTTATTATGTCAAATGGCTACTTATTGAGTTTGATTTTGTATTATTGGCTTATTTTTGAATGATTATGGTGCAGCTGGTCGAGCTAATTACAGCAAATTTATACGGGATCATTTTATAATTAACTATATTGCATCATGTTTTGTGTATATATACAGTATATCGAGATGTAGCTTTCAAATATGTATGATAAAATATAAAATTTAAATAAGTAAACTACCTTAATAATCAACATTTGAGATGTCTCAAATTCAACTTAATTTACTTATGAACTTATCTTTAGGCCATTTTAATAACAGTATTGACATTATTAAAATCGCCTTATAATTTTAGTTTTAGTTTTCATGGCTGGTCGGTCGTGACTCTGAATTTGATCTATATCATCTGTCTTTCTGTCTATTATTATTGGCACTTAAACGTAAATTATAATGTTCATAAATGTAGTTGTTGTTTTTAAACGTATTAAAAATCAATTGCCTGCTTGTGTTTGGCGAGCATGCAGTGTAACAGAAAATGGCTAAATCTGTCAGGATGGATGTGTTAAGTGAAATAAATCATTCAATTTACCAAACCCTGATGGATTTGGATGCAGGCTGAATGGCTGCAGGGCTGAGATGGATGGACTGGTGACCGGTGTCACATACGAGCCTGCGACCAGTCAGCACAATCTGTTATGTGAAAAGATGGGGAGTTCCCTTTTTCGTCGGTGCGTCCACGTCACCGATAAATAATGAGGGAATAATAAACAGTTAACCACCTGTCGGACCCGCGGTACAATGGGACGGCCCATAGAGAGCCTCTCATGCATGGGTAACATATTTACTCAGCGCCTTTCACTTAACGAAGTAGAAAGAGAGCCAAGACAATGGTTAAGTTCATCTGTTTGGTAAACTGGCATGACCGTGTTGAAAAAAATAGAACAATCCGATAATATTTGCATATATTTCACTATTCGATTATATTATATAGGCTACAGGTATAGCTGGAAATATCTGGAAAAATATTAATTAATTTAGGAATATTTTAAGTTTAATTGTCAGGTGGTAATCCCTATATGAATATTATGAGTAATCCTCCCTGTAGGGATATCTAAGGATACCACAAGTGATAAACATCAGTAGGTAATCCCTAAGGGGGAATTAGCCCACCATAAGTGAACAAAAATATAATTAGGTGGTGTCAATATGAATATTATACAACGCTGAAATATAATATATTGATACAGTTGTTATTAAATATGATCCGATACAATAGTGTACAAATGAACTCACAAATGCGTACCAATAGGCTAAATGTATAATGGACCTGGTGTTGCTATAAATACTACAAATTATCCCATAATGACAACTTTAACATGGGAAGTTGAATCCTATGATGGAGGCGATGGGACTTGAGTGGGCTCTAACAAGGGGGAGGGGGGTGTTGTTGGTGGTAATATTTCAGAGATGTGCTTTTAATGGCCTTAATTCAGCAGCAGCCAGCTGTTTTTACTCGGCCTGGTAAAGGAGCGGGGACGTGGCAAGCTTGCAAAGCTCGTAGAAATTAGTCTCGGTCAGCCAGAGCAGCCTATGCTTCCTGCTAACCATCTGCTTACGGCTCACAAAAGGAGGATTTCGGGCAGCAAAGTAAAGGAATATGGGCTCATAAAAAAAGCTTTGAAGGTTCTCGTTACTTAGCGGAGGTGTAGCTGTGCTGGCGGAGCGCTGCGTTAACGCCTGTTTGCGTCCTGCGCTCATAAAGCAGACGCACCTCTGATAAGCGTTGACTCTCTCTAAAGGATCATTTCACGGAGGCGTTCCCTTTTAATTATCGAATTGTGGCCAGTTTATATTAGATTGATGTCGAACCACTTATCGTTATTTCAGCTGATCCGATGCAAACTGAGCGACAGAAATATCACTCAGTAAAGCTGACTGTGCGCACAGACCGGCTGCCGTAAATTGTTCTTTATATTAAGAGAAAGTTTGCTCACACACTTTCAATTAAACATTGAGCCATTCTTCTTACGTTTTTTTTTAGTTGACTGATAATAAAAACACTTTCAGAATCATATTGTCAAATATAAAATATGATTTAAAAAGTATAATATATTATTATTAGTATTATTATTAGTATTATTGCTTTGTTCTTAATATCATGAATGGACAATAATAACTGCACACAGACTCGCTATCCATGGGATATTCCGGTGTTTTTTAGTTAAGTGGAAAAATATATTTGAGTGTTAAAGATCAAGCATGTCGACGTACTTTTGACAATTTGTGACAATAAAGGGCATACATGACAAAGTAAAACATAAATAGTAAATGTATAAAGTTTTTTATTTCTTGTATTTTAAATCTAAATCAAACTTTTCCAAATAGTTTTATTGTATTTCTTATTTTAATTTGGTTTCAAACTGGTAACAATTAGGCGTTTCTTTTTCCTCTTTGGCTCTGCGATGCATTTTCGCCTGATTGCTTTGCTTTAACGGGTTTTCAGGGGCAAAGCTGACAGAACACGACGATCAGGCTCCAAGTCGCTTTAATAAGAGTTTTATATGGGGTCTCAGTGTCCGCTCATATGAATGCGTTTTAAATCAAATCACAGATGCACTTTTATTCAGCCGGTTAAAATAGCAGAACAAAACCGTCTTTAGAAATAAAGCTTTTTTTTATTCCTCTGGGCTGTTTTTTTGAAGAGAAGAGAGGGCAGGAGAGAAAGGCCGAGGGGCGCCTCCTCCGCAGCTGAGGCTGACAGTTAGTTCATGGTTAACAGGATCATGAGCGCACTGCTCAGGCCGCACACTTCTCCTGTGCGCACTGAGCTGCGGCTCTGCGCACTGAATAGAGCCTTTGCAAAAAGAGTGATATTTAACACATCTGTTAAAGCGTTTTGATAGCAGAAATCCGTTTAAGACATTATTCCATGACGAGGGCCAGATTGAGTGTTGAGAATCCTATGAAACCCTAAAACCGATTTACATTTCATATGCTGCGCGGCGTAGCAACTAGTGTAGAAAATGTTCGCCCAGATTTAACATAATACACTCAGTTATTATTTTAATAGTATTATATTGTTTAATGCCTACTTTTATCATCTTATGCATATATATTTTTTATTTTTGCAGTGCTGAAAATAGAATAAAAGAATAATTTCACATTGTTAACGAGTAGGCTGTATATTTTTTTTATAATCTGCATAACAGAAAGACACCATGAATGGGAACGAATAAAGTATCTTTTATTTAAGTACTCATTAAAAGTCCCCATATAATGGCTGAATCTGTAAAGATTGCTCTTTAATTAGGCCGCTTGCCTCTGCCAAACAAAACAAATTGAAAGGAAAGTGGTCAACATGCAAAATTGATGACTGAGCCTCTTTTGTGGTGGGGACATTGTGTGTTGCTTGGTTATGAAGTCTAATGCAATCATAAATTGCGTCCTTCGGCCAATCAGCGGGCCGGGGGATGCGGCATGAAAGCGACCCATGTGGAGAACTTTGTTGAGCCCCATTGTTGAGGCTGTCAGCGCTGAGCGGAGGGCCGGGGAGGGGGGGCAGGCCACTATAAAATACCTCTCCCCTGAGTGGGGAAACCAGAGGAGTTATCAGCCATTCACACGACTGATTCTCTCCCAGCTGACACAAGGAGTATCTCAGATTTCACACACTGACTTTTTTCTCATCCGGGACCATGATGATCCCAAGCGTCCTCGCGCCTCCTGCCTTCTACCCGGGTCTGTACCGGCCCGCCGCCGCTCTGCCGTTCCACCACACCCACCCGTCCGGCTTCCATACCCACTCCAGCTTTCTAGTGGAGGACCTGCTGCGGATAAGCCGGCCTGCAGCCTTCATTAACCGGACTGTCCCGTCAGCGTGCGCCTCCCTGCCCACGGCCACCACCACCGTGTCCTTCAGCGGCGTGCCCGCGGAGCGCGCGGTGGCCACGACCACGGTGACGCGCGAATCGTGCTCGCCGAAAATGTCGGTGTCGAGCAGCAAGGACCCAACTTTTCTCAAGTTTGGAGTGAGCGCCATCCTCGCACCTTCACCAAAGATCGGTGAGTAGACGGACTCCGTGCTCCTACCATCAGTTTGAGTTGACGTGTTTCTTAGAAATTATTGTTTCTCATTCGGGAATGATTAACGTGTGATGTTCCTCCACAGCGTCCTCACACCCTTTCCACAGCCTGCACGCCAAGACCTTCCCCATCCCCTGCTTTGACGGAACCTTTCACCCCATATTCAGGACGCCTTATTTTCCAGGTAGGCGCAACTTTTACGCACTTCTCCATCTATCTTTAGCCTTTAGAATTCTGTCTGAACTAATTGCTTTTCAATGTAAAAAACTCTCGCACCCTGTCATATATTTTTTTAACCACCGAAAGAAGAAATCACTGTCTTATTAATGGGGAGCTCTGGCCCCTGCCCGGACGCACACACCCACCCCTAATTAACCAATTATCCCAAATCGTCACGCTCTAAATTTGAGGCGGGGTGGCGAGTTATAGTCCCCCCTGCTTCCCATTGGGGGGCGTTTTGGCATTTCTCTGGCCCCGCGTTTTCCCACAGAGCCCGGGGGGCCAGCGGGCCGCTGTGGCGGGCAACAAAGCCTTCAGCACCATGACCAATTTGGTCAGCTCCCACCGGGCGAACCACCCACACACCCCGGAGAGTGACTTTTACCAGGGGGGGGGGCAAAGGCGTGAACCAGTCATGCACTAATTTCCCTATTAGGCGCTATTGAGAGTTTTCAATATTCTCACAAGACCACATAGCGCGTCGTTGTTCCTGATTCTTCTGCGGCCACAGGGCAGCTACTGTCAGGAAGACGTCCAGTTAGCAGAACGCAGACAGGAAGAGTGTCTCGCGCGGAGGGAGTTGAAGTAAGGCGATTTAAAAAAAAAAAAAAGCCCTACTGCATCCAAAAATGTCATAGCTGGGGGACGTTTGTCCCTGCGTGCTGCTCGGCCCATAGGATAGGTTACCACTGACCTCCAATCCTCCCTCTCTCTGTGCCCTAAACGTTTATTCTCCAAGCGGGCCAATCAACGAGTTGAGATAAAGAATAATCTCTTAGAAAAGTCTATAAAGTCGCTAGTCTGTGCTTTCATTCAGACAAATAATAATGGAGATGGAGTCTTTTCATGGGCTCAGCTGAAAGCCTCAACAAAACAACTCCAGCGTGCTGAATAGCTTTTCGTGTTCATTTAATGAAATGATTTGAAGGCACGAAGAAAAAAAAAGCGCCATTCCCCTCCACTCTTCACTCCCCCCTCCGGGCATCAGTATTCTGGTATGCAGTTGTGTTTAGTTTGAAAGTGTAAATCTCCTTTTGTTGCGATAATATATGGCCTTCGCCGCCTGTCCAGAGTCTTTTCTGCGTTAGTTCATTACTACACAATTACCGTTCACGGTTTATTAACTCCTCTATCCGCACTCACAGGGTTCCTTAAAGGATATGCTACCTCTTTACCATACCAATGCGGTTGGAGACCGGCCAATGTGCTAATTAGTCACCTCGTGCCATTTCACTCAAAACGGAGACGTATTGCACAGTTCTAAAGGAAGAAAACTTCCAATAAAAAGTTGAAAAGTAGGCTACGGGCTTAAAGGGAAATCATTATATTCATATAGATTTCTGAGGGATTTTTAGTTTAGAGTTAGACAACAGAAGAATATTCAGTATCTCCTAGTTGGTCATTTGTGTCTGCAGGGTCGTTTTAAGGATCATTTCTTCTCCGCGAACAGTATTTTTTTCGGAGATGTGGCAAAAAAAGCAAAGCTAACAAGTTCCAATTTCTCCTCTTTGTTTGTATTGTAGCATCTTCATCCGTTGTCCCCATTCCCGGGACCTTTTCTTGGCCCCTGGCCGCCAGAGGAAAACCCCGGAGAGGGATGCTGAGGAGGGCCGTGTTCTCCGATGTGCAGCGCAAAGCTCTGGAGAAAATGTTCCAGAAACAGAAATACATCAGCAAGCCCGACAGGAAGAAGCTTGCCTCTAAGCTGGGCCTTAAAGACTCACAGGTAAAACTTCACAAGTGATTCAAATCTTCAATACGTCGTGCGTAATTTGCGCGTAACACCACTGTTGTGCATTCCGCTGCACTTAACGCAGAACTTTTTCACTCACCGTTTTGTCTCGCCGTCTACAGGTGAAAATCTGGTTCCAGAACCGGAGAATGAAGTGGAGGAACTCCAAGGAACGAGAGCTGCTGTCATCCGGTGGCTGCCGCGAGCAGACGCTGCCCACCAAAGCCAACCCGCACCCGGACCTCAGCGACGTGGGCAAGAAGTCTTCGGCTGAGGAGGAAGATGAGGAAGAAGAGTTTAGAAGAGAGAGAATCAGGGCGCACTCCAGCATCTCCTCTCCATCTCTTTCCAGTAAGCACTCGGACTTCTCAGAGTCAGACGAAGAAGAAATAACAGTATCTTAATTTATTTAAAAATAAGCAAATATAGAGAGAATATAACCCATGTTTTGTTTTCGTATGAGACTGTGACCAGATTTGTAAGAAGCTGCGACCCCATAAATGTCATTGTTAAAAAAAAAAAGTTTCTCTCAAGTTTGTTGCTAACTCAGCGCATGCGCACTGTACATGATCTGCTTCTGGGACACAATTTGCTGTTTTGCACAGCTTTGTTCAATTGTACAGTATTTTGTACAATTTTGTATGGAAATTTTATGCCAAGAATATTGAGTTACTTTTACCTTGAATAGAGTTGTTTATTGAAAAAATGTAGCTATTTGGTTAATAATTTATATGAATTTCTTTAATAAGTATGTTGTATTATGTGCTGTATATATGTTTATTTCACACTTTTTGTACAATACCAAATAAAATTGTAAACAATTCCAAGTCAAATGTGTGTTTGTTAGATTTTTTGTTGTTGACACAATTCACAAATAACCTGGTTGACATGACACCGGCTCTAAACGTCCACCTGCTTTTCCAGAAAGTAGGCTGGGAGGTTTAAAGAGAATACAAAGTACAATATTCTTTACATCACAGTCACAGAAATGATGTCAAACCGTTTTACATCACCATTCAACCCTGATTACCTTCCTATCTTTAACCTCAGATTGCTTATAACCCTATAAACAGAATAGAATATACTGTAGTTTTGTTCATCACAAATCACATAAAACAGGCTTTGCAGTGAAAGGATGGGAATGAGTTATTAAGTCAACACATTTTCACCCAATCAACCTGCAAAACGTTCTGATTTCGACCACCAAAACACATCAATATATTTTTCTTTCTTGCTAGTGGTCCAAATATTTACACCAACTTCACAGCATTGGGTTATACATGCATACACTTTAATTTGAATCCCAAAGTACTGCTTCTCGTTCATGTCTGCTCTTTGACAACCCGAGGTGCTCGAGGAGAGAGTCGACTCGAAAGCCCTGTTAAGTTTACAGCCATTTAGACAATTAAAAAAATCTGCAAATGTACATAGTCTGTTAGAAAATAAGGTATTGTTTGAATTCAGTCCAGCACCAAAAGACATTTGTGCAACAGTCTGTTTTGGCCAATGTGCATGGAGATCTAAAAGGATTATTAAGTAGTCAAAGTGAGAACTTGTCGAGGCTTATTTGTGAAGAGGAAAAAGGACATTATCTCAAACATGGTAAAAGTTAAAAGAATAAATCTAGCCGTGGTGAATGTTTATTCCCCATTTAGAAAGTTTGTGTTTTTTGGGAAAAGTAGGACTCTAAAGGGATTTTGTAAATTAGATTTAGTCCTGGCCTTGTCTTGCTTTGTAAAATACATTAAAGATGTGGATGTCTGTGCTTACGTATGTGTTTGACCAGTGAAATGTGTGCACTTAATGACTGTTTAAAATTGCATACTTGTATACTATAAATGCTAAGTATGATGTGAAAGTGAAAGTGAGTACGTTTGTTCACACTTCATATGTGGATTTTGTGAACGCAATAAATGCCCGGATGTAGATTATATAGCAACAATTTCTGAGTATGCGACGTGAGCTTTCTGTGCATACTCAACTGCCCCAGAATGCATTGCGTCAAGGTGCCTTGAGACCGGCTGTCAGTCGTGAGGTTTTGAGCCAGGCTACAACCTGGTAATGTGTCAATTTGTCTTTGTATATTTTCAGGCCACAGAGTGACTATTTAGACTAAAAGTATGTGGTCAGTATATCCAAAAAATGTCAATTTGGATATTTGCGATGACGTTTTCAGAGATGTGACAGAGAAAACAGTTCCTATCAGATACATCTGAATGTTTTTGCGTTAAATATCTGCATTCAAATCACTTCGTGGACAAACAGGACGAGAACTTGTGTGTTTATGCAAATCCATGATATAAACATGGTAACATGGAAGTTGACAAACACTGAAGCAACATTGTTTCACCACCAGAACAAAGTCTGTGGAAAAAATCTCCAAACCAAGGAGACAAGCTTGGACATATTAATCAAGAATTCTCACAACAATCCTTGTTGACAATTTGTTTTTGTTTCTTACGGGGTGCTGACACAATCTCCTTCATGGACTATTATTTCAAAATTGATATGAATATAAATATGGCTTTGAGATAGTTTTGGGTTGAATAAAATGAAACGGCGTACGAAGTTTGGGATGTGATGATCTCTCTGAGGAGTTTTTTGGAAGTGTGAGTGGGCTTGCTGTAGGAGTTAACATTCACTTTGCCTCTTTATCTTTTTAATCTTATCCTCCAGCAATCACACAGGCAACTTCAGCTGCAGAGAAGGAAGAAGAGCAGAAAGTTGCTGGCTGTTCACCCATCCAACCAGCAGCAGCAGCCTCATCAGTGTTCTCAGAGGCTGGCAGCTGAGGCCCACTGATGCTCCCGAGTGTCTGTATCGCCATCTGCAGACAGCTCACACACACTGCAGCTGGGCCGGAACAGGAGTATCTCAGCTTGATTAGATGAAGCTGTGGCTCAGTGGAGATTGGAGGACTCCTGGTTGGTTTTTTGGTGATGACGGTTATGACTCTTTAGGGCGCTCTAGGAAGAGATAATTAAACATAAATCCCAATGACAGTAGGCAACGCTGAAAGCTGCTTTAAATTAGTAAAAAAGTAACAGCTTCTGAGGAAAAAAGGCAGCAGTATACTGATATGAAATAAACACATTATGATTATTCTCTAAAACCAAACAAAGCAAGGATGAAGAATTGCAACTGTTCTATTATTTTATTCCAGGTGAAGATAAACTGCAGTCTCACAAAAAAAACAAACCACAAATTACATTTCGACATGAATACGTTGAATTTACTTTTTTTCTGAAATACGCTGCCAAGACTTTTATGTGACTAACAATGCTGGGACATTTTTTTAATCAAAATTTGTTATGAAATATTCGACTATGACTTGTATATGACATAGTATAGCATGACTTTCAATTGTTTTTTTTACGACAAGCTTTATATTACTTTTAATCACAGCAATCTTAGGCCACCATTTATCAATTAGGAATACAAAATCTTTGACAAAATTCATACAAACACTGTTTTAACCAAATAGATCTTGGAAATCTAATGCATAAGCCTGCTTCAGAGTAGCTTCTAATACATGTTTTTATTTTATTTATTTATTGGTTTATTTGATAAGAGACAGTGTACATTAATAAAAACATTGCTGTAAATTTGCCAGAGTTAGCCAAGAGGCTATTTTTCATCTGTAATCCCAAGGCAGATGTTACAAAGTAAACCTAGAAACCGAATATTATAATAATAAGATTATAATAAGATTACATTTACAAAGTTATGCAATATTGACCCTTTACAATGCGTGCACAAACAATGAAAGAAGTGAGAATATTAATATTAATAGTATCATCATGTTTACATTGTCAAGTATTAACAAGACATGCAACACAGAGGCTCTCAAATTAAACACATACAAAGCAAATAAAATGAGGGATAACTAAATAGAAATGGACCATAGAGAAGATTATGCTGCATTGTTAGACACTAAAAATATCCATGTCAGAGGCACAAAACATAAAAGCACGCAGAGTATGTGAAAAATATAAATCAGTCAGACACAGCTAAACAACAATAAAAGACATGCATGCAGGTAGATGAGGGTCGACCGTAATCGTTTCAGTTTTGTTTTTCCAAATGAATAAAAGCGAATCAATGGCTGCACATGTCTTTGGGTCAACATAAAGTGAGATAGCATGCTGTTCTTGATATCCCCTCCCCCCCCCCACCTTTTGCCGCAATGCACGGCTCTGACGAGTCGTCTGTTGCAGAGAGAGGAGGAGCTGTATGACAAGAGGAGGAGGAGGAGGAGGAGGAGGAGGTGCAGTCACAGTGCAATCAGCTGAGAGGATGCTAGCGCTTAGTTAGCTGTTAGCCTGGCGTCAGCTTATCAATATGACACGAACGCTGCTGAGGCTAAGGGATCTTCAGCTACAATGCTCTGCGATCTTTGACGTTGCTCCCCGTCTCTTAGGAAGGGTGTTTCATATTCAGACGCTTACTCTAAACAAAGGCAAGCAAGATATTAGGATGGATACCGTTACCACGAGCAACATGTCGAGCGCTTACTGACGTTAGCTTCGCTAGCCTGCCTAGCATGTTTTTAGCATGCTGCAATATTTATCCGTCGAGCACTTTCTTGTAGAGACCAGCAACACTACCTCTGCTTTATTCTGGTGCAATGCGTAAGTAAAGCGAGGCTTATTATTATACAAAGTATGCGCTTTGGTGACAGTATTTTTAATAGAGGTTACGGTTGTTTACGTTAGGAACTCTCGCGAGAACTTGGTTTCATGTGCAACGTGGTGACGAAAGGGTTGTTATTTCTTGCAGATTTATCTATCAAAAATGGGGTTTCTTCACAATACATTCTCTGACAGTTCTGTAGCAACGTTTATAAGAGCTTGGAGTTGCCATTACGACGTGTCACGGTGTATGATACAGTATATATTTAAAGTTACGTGTCTTCTGAGGAGGGGCCAATTTGGCGCAACTCTCAACGCGGGAGATTTCATTCAAATAGCAGGGACCGCCAAGAACACCGGAGCAGAAGCTTGTTAACCTTCCAGTAGGCTGTTGTAGTTCCACGTCTTGCTTAGTCTTTTGTCCGTATACGTTATTCAGTGTACTGTCGGTGTTAACTGTCAAACCTTTTGCCAACATGCCCTCCCTAGAAGTTACAGATGCATCTGCAATTTCTCCATCGAAGAGGGCAAGGACGGAGACAAAGCGTGAAGAAGACAGATCTGTCCTCAGGTTTGCAAAGCTTTCTGAGTATGCCACGACACCGACCAGAGGCTCAACTAAAGCAGCGGGATATGATCTCTACAGGTTGGTTACACGATGAGTTAATATGATGTTTAGCTTTACTGATATAGCTGCAACGGTTGTATCCTAGTGCTGTGTAAAAGCGTCTGTTAACCAGCCAACCTTAACTCTCTGGGTTGAAACAGTGCATATGATTACACCATTGGTCCTATGGATAAGGCCATGGTGAAGACAGACATCCAGATAGCAGTACCACATGGCTGCTATGGGAGAGTGGGTGAGTGTTTGACATACTGATGCAACTCTGCCAGTACATGTTTTTCCTGCTTTGTCTACTTGCTGCTTAGGTTTAGCTCACTGCATGTGAGTTCATGTCAGGATTATGTCACACTAGTTGATAGGATGTGTCTTTGTACATTGTGTCATTCTCAGCACCGAGGTCTGGACTGGCAGCAAAACACTTCATTGATGTTGGCGGTGAGTCTTTGCATGTTTGATCTACTTATGACTAGAATCCATGTGAGCAGGTGATGTTCTAACCCGGGACACGTCCAGTCATTTTAATTTTTTCCCCCCCGACTGCGTCTGTATGTTCTCTCCTCAGCTGGAGTTGTAGATGAAGACTACAGAGGAAATGTGGGAGTTGTGCTCTTCAACTTCAGCAAGGCCTCTTTTGATGGTGAGTGGCCTTCATGAAATACATCGTGATGACGTAAGGCTGGGGGGTGTCATTCACAGTAAACATAACATGTTGAGTTTAAATCTGACCCAGCTCCCCGTAGGTTAACAGATTTAACTGTTCAATAAATCTATGTATAGCAGAATGAATGAGGTCATTGCATCTCTGACACTAAATTATTCTCTACGTTTGGTAAAACACAAAACTGGCTAAAACTAATATTAAATTAAAAAATATTTTTTAACCTGGAATATTTGTTTGATTAGAAATGAATAAGAAACATTTTTGCTATTAACATTTGCTTATTGCATCCTGTACATAACTAAATATATGAAGCTCTTTATACATGTATTTTTTTTAAAGTCTTTGCTACAATTGACTAATTGTTGTCTTTTTGTTGTTGTTGCCTCCGTCTGTTTGTCTTTCCAGTGAAAAAGGGCGACAGAGTTGCTCAGCTGGTCTGCGAGAGGATCTGCTACCCAGATCTGGTGGAGCAAAAGGTAAACTGCAGGTTGAAAAAACAACACTAATGTATACGCACTAAGTTTCCAGTTTATTGGGTACACTTGTATTAAACTGCATTAGTTTTAACCAGCGGTCCTGCAGTAAATCCTCCCCTCCTGGAGGTTATAATGTTCAGTGTTTGTCAGCTGCATTAGAGAGGTGTTGATTCAACTTAATGATCATTTTGGAGGCTTTAGTTTGTGGTGTTGTGGAATTTCATTGTTACAATGACGGGTGTTTTCTATTTTTACCCAACCCAATTATAGCATGGAGGATAGGCAAAATAACACCTCGGAAATGCAATATAATTTAACCACAAACTTCATCCCGTGAAAGAATCATTTAGTTGAATCAACACCTCTCTGAAACAGCTTCAACATAAAGTGAACATTCAACACCTTCATGAAGGTAGAATTTATTGCAGGACTGTTGTATTGGACTGCCTAAAACTGGCAACTTGAGTGTGCTTTACCCATTTCAAATTGTTGTGGAAACATTGTCAGATTTTCCATTAGATGTTTGGCTTTATTTCATGTTTGTCATCGGATAGATTTTAATCTTAAATTCATGGCTGTGTTCTTTCAGACGCTTGATGAGACGGAGCGTGGTGCTGGAGGTTTTGGATCAACTGGACGCAACTGAAAGCTCCAAATATTATTGGTGATTAAAATATATTGATTGGGTGATAATAAAATGCTTTTCTTTGTACTTTGGAGAGTTTTGGTGTCTTTACTGGGACTGTCACAGTTTGAGTTCTGTCAGGTGAACTTCTTGTCTGACCCCAAAGTAAAAAAATAACAATCTTCCAAATCTCCACATGGGGGCAGTGCAGGACAAGAAATGCTTCTCGGGTAAATAACCTAACCATGTTAAGCTCAACTCCAGTGAGTTTTACAGCCTTTAGTTTAACTTTGTCACATTAATAATTCAATCTGGATGAAGGGGAAGGTACAGCGGTGAATACATATACACCAAACATGTTTTTATTGTGAATTTACAACTAAACCTTTACTGATGGGAACACAGACTGGTGTCAGGCTGGTCTGTGGCAATGCAACACTGATTGTATTTTGTGAGAGAATGTGTGGCCATGAAGACCTCAGTGCATAATCATGAAGGCCCAGGTTTGGCATCATCAATGTGTGTGTGTGTGTGTGTGTGTGTGTGTGTATGTATACACAGTTTACAAAGGAAGTAGTTGGTCATTATAAGCACCATTACAAACCCCTCTATTCCAGGGGCTTCCTCTAGTTTACAAATGCTTCATAGATTAAAAGTGGCATCGATTATTACAGTATAAACACAATTTACATGTAGTATAAAGGAGAGCGGACAGGCTATGCAGCTAGCTGTTACTGTTGCAAAGACATGAAATCTTCAGAATGACCAATGGGATTGTACTGTTGACTACTGAGTTTTGTAGAGTAGTACAGTGCATTCAGAAGTCTATGTGGTTGTGTTGCTAGCACCAGTAAATATGAATTATTCTAGTCGGTAGGAAAAATGGAAAAGCATAGTTTAAATATGCAGTTGGAGTCATTCAAGCTCAGACATGGCTACATCTCAATAGTCCATAGTGGGTTCCTTTCCTCTCCTAAACATTCTCATAATTTCATCTTCACTCCGTTAAATTAACATCTGGGGAAGGAAATGTGTTCACTTTCATGTATCCAGGTTTGTTCAGTTGTTTACCTGAGGGGAGGAAATGAATGTATTGCAGACTATTGGGACTCACCCTTTTCTTCCACCTAAGCCGAGTTCTAAAAAAAAAACTCAGCCTTTAGAGCTTTCTGCAGTCCTCATGCACTTCAAAGTGGCACCTGATTCCACATATCATCATACAACATGAAACCCGACGATTAAAAACCACTCACGTTCTCAATAGTGCTTCACACACAGCTGACGTTGTGTGTCGGGGCAATATGTTCTTCATTTGACTGAAATCTTTCATACTACCTCATTCAGCTGGCATGTTCCACATAAATTGTATCTATGATATGTAGAATCATCTTTGGCAATCAAACGACGCAGTCCCCCCACCCACCCCTTTCTTGTCTCTTTGGTGGCGAGCCCTTCTCCCTGTTGGAGCAAGTAGAAGTTGCCCCTAACCACTGATCCAGAGTCAGAGATGTTTGGCCTTTTTGGCGAATTGTGAGCCTGACACTGGATTAGCAGCTTTAGCAACGTCTGCCTGTCTCAGTCTTGTGATGGTTAATGGAGGATGATCTGCACCCTCATCTTCAGTATGTCTCCCAGCTGTCCTGTGAGGTAGTCTTTATCGTGTTGGTCCTCCAGCTCAGCCAGCTCCTTCTTCCTGTAGAGCGGCATGCTGCTGATCTGAAGGTAGTACGCCCCTGGGGGGAGGGCCTTCTTCTTGCTCAGATGCAGGTAGCTGACGCCCTCTCTCTGGTTGATCTTGAAGTAGCCATCTTCGTTTCCGTAGTCGATGCTGTAACGCACGTGGTCAGTGAGGGTCGATAAGGCCGGGGTGAACTCAAGGATGTGGTCGCGGTTGCTCAGGTCGCTGATGTTCAAGTGGAACTGCAGAGTGTCCTCGATGTCAACACTGGCCAGGCTGACCATCTCCTTCTCAGTCAGCTGCAGAAAGACAAACATGGCCCAACTTTTTAGTGGATACAAGACATTTGTCCTAGAGTACATAATGTTTTCTGTCATTAATCAAGCGAGGGAAAAGAACAAGTTGTAATAGTATGTATGCTTCCCCCAACCAGTCAAGTTGTAGTTTACATCCATATCCAAAATCGAATCACTTCATCGTTGTATCCTTTTACATCCTGTGTCCACAGATCGTTTTTTTTATGAGCACCAGTGTCAATTTGTAATTGTTCCCAACGAGGAGAGGGCATAAAAGCGCTGCACACAGTGTCTTTTCTCTGAGCGCTCCGCCTTTTTTGTGTTGAACGTCCTCGTCGCTTTATAGCTGTCGGATTGAGCGGTCACAAGCTCATCCACACAAAGTATGAAGCAGACATCCTTTGGTCGGTGCTCATGGTGAAAAACAATGACAAACAAATGGATAGTAGGCCAAATAGACAATACAAACCAAAGGAGCGATACTAGTCTATCATACAAAGGGGGTTAGAGTAGTGATATGTTGTTAAGATATTGTTGTCACAGAAACATAAAAAAAGAGCTTGGAGCGTTTTTTTGATGAAATGCTGGAATGAAGGCCTGCGAGCCTGTGGGTGCTTTTTTCTTCCAGAAAAAGACGCTATGTGGACACAGATTCTTACCCATTAGTGTGGAATTGTCATAATTAGCATATGAATTCTTGAGTTATGGTCAAAAATATGTTTTGTGAGGTTGCAGTGACCTTAGACCAGCGAATTTGAATCAGTTCATCCTTGGGTCAAAAATAAATTCTCTCAAGGGGTTCCTGGGATAATGGGACGTACGGACGGATGGACAGAAAACCTGAAAACATAATGCCTCCGGCCACGGCTATCGCCTGCGCAGAGAATAAAAGTACGTGCAAACTGGACTGTTGCCAGGATTTTAGCTGTAGTGAGTTCCGTCAATGAGTCCCTACTACCTGCAGAAACGTTTCACGAGAAACCAAACAGGAGGTTTCTATCATGTTTTAACTATTCAGATATTTCTTAAGGTAACTGTTGGTACATTTCATTTCCCAACATGAATGTCTAAATGCTGCAACAAGGCCAGGTAAATGCTGAATCGTTTACTGTATTTGTTTATCATTTAGTTGGCCCGAAAGTAGGAAAATCTATACATATTGCGAAATGACTGGAATCCGTTTTTAACCTGTTTATGTTGTTATTTGTTGAATATTAAGTCCCCTCAGGTGGGTAAGACCCGAAAGGTTCCCATGACTTTTGCATCCTCAGCGTTAGCGTTATTGCACACAGACAAGATTACCTGCATGTCTTCCAGAGGGTCCTCTTGTGTCGAGTTGGTGCTGCGACGTTTGCGTCCCTTCTTGGGATAGCCGTTGATCTTACATTCATAGCAGGCCTCAGGAGACAGAGAATTATCATCCACCTCCCCTCCCTGGCCAGCACTGGAGTCGCCACCAGTGAAGCCCAGACCTGTGACACAGTGCCTGAAACGAAGACAAAGCCATCAGTCGACTAGCAACCTCTACAGAGAGCTTCCACACACAGTTTATTCGCTCACGTACCCTTGTCCTGCACGGAAGTATCCAGTTGGACATCCACAGAGGTAGCCCCCGTCTGTGTTGGAGCAGCCAAACTTGCAGGGGTTGTGGCTGGTGGAGCACTCGTTGACATCTGAGCAGCCGCCGCCCGTCTGCTCGTAGTTGAAGCCGGTGGGGCAGAGGCAGCGGAAGCTCCCCAGGGTGTTGTGGCACGACGCTCCCCCGCAGATCTGGCTGTTCTGACACTCGTTCTCATCTGGGTCACAGGAAGTTGACGGGAAGTAAACAAACAAGAGGTCAGTCCAGTTAAAGGACACAAACAATACTGGGAAAGTCTGCCATGAATGTGGAGAGATTCAAACTAAAAATAGATGTTTAACTAACAAAAGCTCTTTATTTTGGGGCATTACACCAGGGCACACGCACGCTGTACAACACAATTACTTTGTCTATGCTTGAACTATTTCTGATTACTTTAGTACTTACAGAGTTTGGTGTTGCATCATCCTCCTTTTTTCATTTGTTTTTTGTCCCTACTTCATTGGGTCTCTTTATCCATTTAGAGTGAGATATTTCCATAACATCTCTTATCACCCTCATAAGTTGTGTTTTTTGTGTCTTTGTATTACTTAGTAGATATATATAATAACTTTTTGAGCATTTTGTTTTAACATAACATATCCTTTTCTCATGACCTTACCGCAGAAAGGGAAGGGTCAAACTTCCAGAGGAAAGGAAAAACATATTTGACATATTTATATTTTAAGAGTGGCAGGAAAGAGGTGAAGGATGGATAACTTGTTTTAAAAAGGCTCCAGGCCAGACTCTAATCCCGAACATCAAGGCTGCATGGTACATACTTTGGCAACCAAGTCATCAGGTTGCCCCAAAAGGAAAGAATTTTTACATTTGCTGATAAAAACAACAGCATTACTCACCCACACACTGGTTCCACTGGTAGTGCTGTAGGTAGCCCTGTGGACAGCTGCACCTGTATCCACCCACCAGGTTCTGGCAGCCATGCTGACACCTGTGGCTACCGTCGCACTCATCCATATCTGTCAGGGACAAACACACAAACTACAGTAAGAGCCTGGTTTTCTGTAATGAATCAGCTGATACTCAGGTTGGTATCAATCGTTGTCAGACCTTCACAGGCTTGTCCATTGGGATCTAATGAGAATCCCCGCTGGCAGTCGCAATTGAAGCTCCCTGGAGTGTTCTGGCAGGCACCGTTGGAGCCGCACAGATTAGGGTCCGATGCACATTCATTGTTGTCTACACAGAGAGGAGGGAAGGTTCAGACAAGGGTAAAGTGGGACATTTGATATAACGGCTGACTAAAACCCTGATTTGGATGTGCAGAGACATTTTCTAATTCACAGGGGTCGACATTGGTTCCAAGATAATAGGACAGGTCCACTATAGGCCGGTGGCACAAATGATCTCACAGTCTGCAGGGCTTTAGGAATACAATCTCTCACCTACTGATTTGACTTCAGACCAGAGGATATAATCACATATGAGTGTGAAAGTTCATTCTTGACTTTGGGAATAATAGATTGACAAAACA